CCTAAGGAAGAGGACTGTCCTAGACTTTAGGCACTAGGTGATGAAAGGGTGAACTGGGCCATGATACAGGGAGTGGAGAGGAGAGAATTAGGGAATGCAGAAGACAATGGGGAGGCAGATGTAATTGGGCTCAGTGATTTACAAAATGTGAGTTGCAAAGGAGAAGGAAAAGCCCAGGTGACTAGATAACTCTGGGCACAGTGATGTATTTTGGGGGAAATGATAAGATGTGGTGGGGTGCAGCATGAGGAATTCTGTTTAGACCTATTGAGTTTGAAGTGTTATAGGGCCTTGGAGCCTGGGAGCTATCAGAGATGAGGGAATACCCATTATTGGTTGAACAGAGTGGTTGGATGAGGCATAAAAGCAGATGGCACAGAAGAGTGGACTGAGGTCAATAACCAAGAAACAAAAATGCTACTTTTGTTTTGTGATGTCAGACTGAGAGATGACAGAAGCAGCAGAGATCAAGGGGGATCAACAGAGAGAAGAGTCACACAGCACAGAAGAGTTTTCAGGAAGTCTAGGGTGAGAGCTCTTACAGCATCCAACACTGCTGAGTGCACAGTGGCTGACACATTGTGAGGCAGTGATTCTGACAGACAGGGAGCAAGGAACACAAGAAAGACTGTGAAGGCTTGAGGGTAAGTGGGTGATGAGGAAGGTGAAGCTGAGGATATGGCTTCTCATTCAAGGAATTTAGCAACATCCAGCTGGGGCAATAGGTTAAGCTGAAACCAACTAAGATTTCTGCCAATTCATGAGATGCTTATGCATGCTTAAGAGCTTAGAGAAGGAGCTCTACACCATGGTGATGGTGTGTGGACACCACTGTTGAGATGAGAGACTCAGTTTTCATGGGTAAGCAAGGATCATCTTTCCAGAGTCACTTTCTTTTAGCCTTTCAATACTTCACTGTTGAAGCTGGATTCTAAGACATTATGTAACACATAAAAACTACATGTGAACTTTACTCAAGTTTTTCTACAAGTCTTTAAAAAGTTCTAAAATACATGGTAGAAAATGTATAACCCACAACCACCAAAATGGTAAGTTACACTCCATATATATGTCAAAACAGACTCTACTGTCATGTATAAATAAAATGAAAAAAAAAAAAAAAAGAAAATGCACAACTCAAAGTGTAGAATTCAGCTAACTGGCACCTTGATTGATGGCACATTCTATTCATTTGGGTGGTTTCCAGAGGCCTTCTTTGTTGTAATTTATTTTAATGACTCAAACAGATAAATGGTATGATTAGTTCACTTAAACCTCTCATTTATTATCAAGTGTGATGTACCTCCTCATTTAATTTTACTATTGGATAGGCCACGGATGACTATTTGATTGTACACTTATGATTACTAAAAGCCTCAAACATTTTTGAAAACTCTAAAAAATGCATAGAATGATATTACCTGAATTACATTTTTATGTTGTGTGCATGTACAAATATGTAACAACAAATCCCACTATTATTTACAACTATCACGCACCAATAAAAATTATGAAAAAAAAATGCATGCAAAACTTGACTTATGTTTACAGAAAAATGTCTCTTTGAGAGTCTATAATTTGCATCAGAATGAAAAAAGATGTGCTTTGTAAAAAGTTGAAAGTGAAAGTATTTGAGATACATAAAGATAGAATGGTAGTCAGTGTTCCCAGTGATCTCCATCTTCCCTTCACTAGATACTCATGTCCCTGTAGAGTCCCTTTCCACATTAAATTAGATGATTTGTATAACTGATAGGATTTTGCAGAAATGATAGCATGTGACCTGCTGTTCAGGCCCTAAAAAGTTGTAGCTTTCTCTTGGATCCCTCCTAGGGAAAGCCTGACAATATTTTGAAGACATACAAGTCATACCTATGGAAAGGTCCCTGTATCTTAAATCCTCCTATTAAGAGCCAAAAAGAAACACAGACCTCCTGCTAGCAGCCAGCATCAACCTGCCAGGCATGTGAATGTCCCATTCAGGCTCCAGCTGCCATCTTGGCTGCAACTTCATGGAGGACTTGGGCCCAGAACCAACCATCCATTCAGTTACTACAAAATCCCCCCCCTCCCCCAGAAATTGTGATAATACAAACTTATTATAGTTTTAAACTGTTAATTCTGGAGGAATTGTTCTGCATATATACAAAAGACTGTATCACTTATTCAATATAACCTTACCTATAATGATGGTGACCACAAGCAAATCAGTCATTCTGACTTTTTCATGTGTAAAGTGGGGATCGAACCTGCTGCATGGATGAAATCCATAGAGTAAGTCAGCAAAAAATGGATGAAATTCATATAAAATATTGGGGTTCAATGATTCAGAAGGGAGGCAAGACAGGGCTAAAGCATTTTTTTTTTTTTTACTGAAATCTCAAACAATTCCTGGCTCCTGTGTTAGAGGAAAGGGCTTTGTAAATTGAAGAGTGCTATATAAATGTTATAATAATAGATTTATAAAATGATTAGCTCTAAAAGGAACCTAATTAGATTTCAATTCTTCACTATATATACATTAAACTTCAAATTAGAAAAATAAAAACGTACCTAAGACAATGTTATAATCATCAAATGACACAGACTGCAGTGCTTAAATGGAAATGGCTTGCTATGTTTCTTTTCCAGTTTATCTTTCTTGTATGGATTATTATTCATTCTCTCCATATTTAATTTCATAGTAAGAAATTAGTTGAGATCCTCATCTCTAACTCCAAAATCTATGTCGGTTTTAAGTGTAGTGGAAACTTCTGCATCTTCAATTGTGCTTCAACACATATCCTTAGATCATTACATTCCCCTACAAAACTGCTCATTCTTGGTGGTGCCTGCTTAGGCATCCCTTGGGTTTGGATATGAGGTGTGCCCTGAAAAGCTCATGTATTTGTTAGTTCAGGAATATTTGGAGGTGAGATGATAACGTTATGAGAGCTATAACCTAATCTGTGGATTGATCCATTTTAGGGGAGAATAATTTGAATGGATGACTGAATGATAACTGTAGGCAGGTGAGGCATGAATGGAGGAAGTAGGTCACCAGGGGTGTGCCTCTGGGGACTATATTTTGTCCCTGGCTCATGGCCCTCTCTTGCTTTGCTTCCTGGCTGCCATGAACTAGCAGCTTTCCTCCACTATGCCCTTCTGCTGTGATGATCTGCCATCACCTCAGACCCAGAGCAAGAGGTCAGACTACCATGGGCGAACTTCTGAAATCAGGAGCCCCAAAATACGCTGTTCCTCTTCTAATTTGTTCTTGTCAGGTATTATAGTGACTCTAATGAAAAGCATCCCAACATGAAACCAAAGAACAATTACCTCCTCAATGCATAATGAATTCTTTAAAAAATTATGTTATGTGCATATTAAATATACCATAAGGATTTTCACCTTTGTGCATAAGTAAAAAGAATCAATCAAATATAAACAAGTAGATGATTGAAAGGACTTCTAGTCGAGTACAGGAAGGAGAGTTGGGGAGGGGAGGGAAAATGGGAAGATCATGAACTGAAATAGAATTCGAGCTACGTAGGAGTTTGTTGGGGGTAAATCCAACAACTATGTATAACTATAAAGTTCTAATTATTTTTTAAAAAGAACCGTATCCTGCTCCCTTTTGCTCAGCTTCTCTTTTCTCCCTCAGTCTCTTACATTCTCACTCGATAAGGCCTTTCATCTCTGTCTTCTCCTTTCTTACTCCATCCCCCTGGTTCGTGAACTTGATATCTTGTTCTGGGGTGATACGTATTGTATAGGCTCCTACTGGATTTCATTGGTTTTTCCACCTTTGTTGTCCAATCTGCTGAAGATTAAAATCCATGTTCTTTAGTATGAAATTTATGACTGAATGATTTGGCTATAACCTACCTTTTGCTGCTATCCTCAGCAGAACACTCACCTATTACTGCCAGGAATGACATACCCACCAGCTCCCCACTTATACCTCCCACCATGCTATTCCCGCTTATCCAAACTCTGTGAAGACTCCTCCTCTGGGCCACTTCCCTCAGCCCTCTGTGCCTGCCAAATTGAGAACCCTTCTTTGTGGCCCTTTAGCCATTTTCCCCCCATATTTTTTATTGGTGCACTGTAATTGTATATAATGGTGGTATTTATTGTTCTATATTGGTACATGCACATGATGTAATAATATAATTTGGTCAAAATTATTCCTTGGTATTTCCCCTTTTCTTTCCCTCCTCCCTTCTCCAGTCCTTTTCCCTCCATTCTACTGGATTCTTTTTGATTTTCTGTTTTTTTTTTCTCTGCCTTTCACATATGAGAGAAAACATACATTGCCTGACTTGGTGAGTTTGGCTATTTCACTTAAGATAATGCTCTCAATTTCCATCCATGTTCCTGCAAATGACATCATTTGATTCTTCTTTATGACTGAATAAAATTTCATCATGTATAGATATGTTTTTTTTTTTCATCCACACATCCACTGATGAACACCAAGGCTGGTTCCATAGTCTGGCTACTTTGCATTGTTATGAGCATAAATTGCTATAGTTTGATGATTTTAATTCTTTAGGAAAAATACCCAAGTGTCTTTAGTTCTTGATACTATTGTCATAGTACTGGTATCATAGCACTCCCTCCAGTGCTTGGCTCATGATTAGTCTGCATTGAGTCCTGTGTCTTTCTGACTGCCTGTGTCCAGCACCAAGCCCTGAACCTAAATGCTTTAGATCAACCTGGCATATGGAGAGCTGTGTCTCTCTCCAACCCACCCTGAAATGTGAAAGAGCATGAAGCAAATTTTAGTACTGCTAAAATTTAGCGGAAGTACAACCTGAATAGAGCTTTTAGCAGATATTTATATTACAACTGACAACTTAGAATCTAACTATTACATTAGAAAAGTGGGTGATAAAATAACAGAGAGGCTTTTGGAATAATGAACATGGATTCTGCTTTAGTTATGCTTTATCTTATCACAGATTCTAGTTTAAAAGCAAAACATTAAGTATGGTTTACGTTGTATTTCTATTTAGACCTAAATGCAGCACTCCACCTGTGAGAAATGAAAATGGAACATAATCTCATAAAAATTGAATTTGCAAGGTAAAACTTTTTTTTTCTTATATGAGAAAATGTGTTTAATTGAACGCTAAAATACCAAGTACCAAGACTATTTATATAAACTGAGCCTTGATATTTTTAAAAGCTATTTAGACTTGAGGTGTTGATATGGTTCCATGGAGAAACATTAAATAGCTATCAATTTATAGTACATTTCAGTATTTGAGAAGAGAAGCAGTCTCTTAATCATAGTGATTGTTTCTGATCTTTTAAAACCCCAGGCATATAAACAGCAAGTCAATGATGACTTGTCAGTATTGAGAAGGGGCATTTGCATTACAACTCAGTGTCTTGTATGTGTGTGTGTTGCGTGTTATGTGCTTTTTAGTACACACATGCATTGTGTGCATATGTATTATACAGTGCACACAAAACACTATATTTTCATGCTCAGATACAATTTCCCTTCTAAAATATATTCTCACTTTTTCCTGCTTCCATCTTTGTATAATAAAGTCTGTCGTAGAATCTTATCAAGCACACCTTACTGCACTACCAATTTTTCAGTAGCCAATTCTGAGTTTGCATTCACTCTCAGGCATTTTATCTGCCCTGCTCTGAGAGGTATTATTAATCACATCCTGTTGCTAGGATACCTGAGAATGTTCATTTATGTCCGATGTTTCTTTGGCAAAATGCACTATGAAGAAGGCATAGAATCATGACAAAGAAAATTACTGTGCACATGTTCCTTATTTAAAAAAAAATGGGGGAAGGGCATGACAATCTCCAGATAACACAATGCTAACTCCCTTGTATTTTTTAATGCTGTTTTTGTTTCATCTAGACTATAATGGAAAAACACTGTCAATATATTTCTAGAAACTGTAGTATTTCTACACTTCTGGTTTAATTAGGAGAGTGGAAGGAGGTAGGGTTTTAATTCTGGTTATTTTATAGGGATTTAGAGAGAAAGGGGCTTGAAGGTTTACTTGCTTCAAATGCCTCAACTTGTAGACAGGGCAACTAGGTTATAGTGCTAGGTGGATTTCTAGAGCCAGACCTAAAGCTCTGTTCTCCACTGTTGCTATGTTTATCTAGTATAATGCAACATTCATGAGAAAAGCAGTCTTCAGAATGTATATTTGGGCGATCCAGAGTTAAAAATGCCTTTGTTGGCATTTTTAAATAATTTTCAAAATTATTCCTGTATTGAATGTAGATACACCAACTATTCTTGCTTTTGTCTGTAAGGAGAGAGGAAAATGAATACATAAAATCTTCTTAAATGCAAGTTTTTTTCTCTTCCCACAGGAAACAGCATGATTTAGCAGAAGGAACATGAACTTTCGAGTTAGACTGACTTATCTTAATCATGGGTCCCTGTGGGCTATGTAACCCTGGAAGAAAGCAGAGAGGGACTTCACCTTCCATATTACTTCTTGTTCTCTCCTCTTCTCTTGCTTGTGTTTGTGTGTATTTACACAAAAACACGCACACACACATACAATATCTACCGTCTATATAATTATCATCTATTATCTTCTCTCTGATATTTCAACTGAAAATGAATTAGAACCAAATTGTTTTACTTCATTCCTGTTTCTAAGTGATATTAGTAGGGTGTTTTATAATCACACTAATAATAGTAGCTAATGTTTCTAAAACAATATACCTATCATTGTTTTTAGCATATTATATGGAATAATTCATTTTATCTGCACAGCATTATGATACTTTACGGCAAATAAATAATGAGAAGCCAAAAAACCAAATAGTTGAGGTGAGAGATCAGGGAGAAGTAAGCAATGGGATATTTTATAAGACATCTATAATGAGTCCCTAGATATCGAGATCGTCTCAATAAATTATGTTGTTAAAAATATTTCTGGAGATTACTGTTTTTTTTTACTAGCCATTTATTGCTTATTGAATTATTTGAATAAATCAACTACTTATTTTAATTGGCGAATATCTAATCATAGTAGTTCAGAAGTAGAATGACATAGGAGATCTTCAGAATGAGTTTCTTAAAAAGTGATTTAGTTGTTATTTAGTACCTACTGGAAGATGGGCATTGTGTTGCCACTTAAATATTAGTTAATTCACTCTTCCCTAAAAATCACAGAGTTGATGATAATTACTTCATTTTTTTTTTCAGGAGTGAAATCAGGCTCAGAATCTTTCTGTAATATGCACAAGATTTGAGTTAGGGAATGGCAGAATTGAAATATGAGCCCAGAGATTTTCATCCTGTCCGAGGTTATTGGCCATCATGATGAAGGGCCATTCCATAGAGTGCTGAAGAGCCTGGGTTTGTCACTCTGCCAGTTAAATATCAATGGATACTGGGCACATCGCTTAACCTCTCCAAGTTGAAATGTGTTCATCCTGAAACAGGGGTAATATGAGTACCTACTTTGCAGGGTCACTGTGAAGGTTGAATACTTAATTCCTACTTGTTCTGAGTGCATGATATGCTCATGTTTATAAAGCTCTTGCCTCAGTGCATGGGGCAGAGAAAATAGTGTATTGTTAGGTATTTGTCTTTAGGGATGCTCTGTATCAGGTGGTACATAGAATTGCATGACAATTCTCACTATCTTCAAAGTCAATTACTTCATTTATTGTAGTTTCAGTCTTTGAAAATTTTGTTTCTTTCCTACTGAGATTTTTGAACCCAGGGAGCTTTACCATTGAGCTACATTCATAGCCCTTTGTATTTTAAGGCAGGATCTCATGAAGTTGCTTAAGGTCTCAATAAATTGCTAAGGCTAGCCTCAATCTTGTGATCCTCCTGCCTCAACCTCCTGAGTTGTTGGGATTACAGCAATGTGCCACTACTCCCGGTCTTTGTGAGTTTCTTGACATCTTAATTACATTTCTCTCACTTGCCTTCCCTTGGTTTCTAAGGGAGAAGTGGCTTTTCATTTTACTGAATTCCTTTCCTTTCCTCTTGGTGTTTTTTTTTTTTTTCCCAAATACAAGTTGGGCTAGTGAAACCCAAATTGATACATCAAAATTCCCAATCATGAGCCAAGGCCACATGGGTTTATGGCTCCAATCCTATCCACTTTTGGAATGAGCAGCAACTATGGATCTGTCAATAGTCCCATGTGGTCTAAATACAGAGGGAGCATTGCTTTAGAAAAATCAGGAGAACCCTTCCCCCATTCCTCCATTCCTTCCAATAAATGGTGGGACCTTTAACATTGAACTTGATTTATTGTAAGGACAGGAATAGAAAAGTTTAACTGGGCCAGTTTAAGATTAGTTGGTCTAAAATGGTCTGTATAGGACTACAACTTGCATAGTTTTTGTTTGGTAAACACTAGGAACAGGCCAACAGGTTTATTCTATCATTTGTGGTTGGATTTATGCTCATATTGAAATGTCAGTGGCCTCAGCTGACATTAATGATGAGCCTCTGGTTGGTAGGGGAATCCTCCCTGCCCTTTTGCAGGTTTAGATAAATTCCACTTGCTCCTGTGTCTGTTTCTATTTTGTTAGTTGATCTGTTGCTAGGATGCTTGGGCAAAACGAACCATTGTAAGCACACTGAGAACTGGGGGCTTCAGACAGTGTGTACTGAGATACAAAAACTGGCCCTTCAGAAACATATCGATACAGATAAATCTGGGCCTCTGAGGTTGACCATCTGCCTTGGCAGAGCTGACTCTCCATCTGCACTCCCCAGCCCTAGGGTCTGCCATCCGTCATAGCGTGGAGAAAAAAACCGAATGCTCAAAGGTTCCCCCTCCCCACCCCACCCCGGGCTTACCCTTCTGCAAAGAAGAAGCAAAATCAGTATGAAGAACAATCGTTTTAGGTTGTCTTGGAAATTCTCAAGTACAGAATTTCTTCCCACTTGGATCCATCTGACATGCACATAATTAATGCGACAAGCAATAGTCCCTTTCACATTCCCAACACTGGGCTGGGAGGTTTAAATCTTCGACTAAACCTTTTGATATTCAGGATCTCATTTTGGAGGCAGTCATTTCTTGGCAGAGAAGACTTTTGGAAGACCTTTAGATGTTGAAGTCAGATTGGCAAAAGCAAATACCCATTATTGCCAGGTCTTAAATAGCTCAGCAAAAGGGGAACACTAGTTTTAATAACATTAGCTCCAGCTACTGACTAAAGCAGAAATGTACTTTCCTTTGTGTAATACACATTTCTACCAAGTTAAGAGTGAATAATCATTTTGAAAGAGAATAATACTCTAAATGTCCTCCAAGTGTTCATTATGTAAAATAAAAAACAGAATGAATTATTTTGTAGAGAATGTTGTTGTAATCTATTTATTCACTCCCTTTAGAATGAAAATGAGATTTTGTAGCATCCTGAACATTTTGCATTCATGAGGTAGGAGAAGAGGCTCTGTATTAGGCACTTTGTTTCCTCCTCTTTTGGAGAGGGATGGAAGAGGGCTTTTTTGAAAGGCATGTTCTCAGAGGGTCATCAGCACTAGAAAACTAAAACTTCTTTATTTTTCCTGTACTGGAGACTGAAACCAGGACCTGGCAAATGTTAGAGTCTGTAAACAAGTCAGGATGGCGCCTGGCATTTTGCCAGAGGGAGTGGTTTGTGAAGTAACGCCAGCAAGCCATTAAGTGTGGAGATTCCTTATTGGTTGACTGCTATATTGAGTTTATGTTAATTAGATAAGCTGTGTGGATGTATATATACCCCTCCTGTCCTACAATAAACGGCTCCCACTCCTGCTGTATCAATCTATACAAGTTGCTTGTCGCCCCCCGGTTATTTTGCTGCAGCCGGACTGTGGCAGGCACTTGCTACGCAAGCACTTTATCTCTGAGCTGCATCCCAAGCTCTTTAAAAATTTTTTATTTTGACACAAGGTCTCACCAAGTTGCCCAGGTTGGCCTGGGACTTCTGAATCTCTTGCCTCAACCTCCAGAGTCACCAGCATTATAGACTTGCTGTACTTCACTGGTCAACAGCCAGCTCTGCAAAGCAAAGCAAAGCAAAGCAAAAGCAAATAAAACAAAGCACCTCAAGAATAGTATGGAACAGAAGCTCTCAGTGCACTTTACACAGTGAGGAATGACTGTTGGTTCATGAAACTTCCACTGCAGGTACAGATGTGTGTGTGTATGAGCTCCGACCATGTGCCCAGACAGCTTTCTTTCAGACTCCTCCTCTGAGCGGATTCATTCTGCTGCCCTAAGCCCAGTGGTCTTCTTCCCAGGTTGCTCTTTTCCTCTCCTGGTATCTTCTGGTGGCCCCCAGCCTTGCCACCTGCCCCACCCCTCGCATAGCATTCCTAACAATCCCATGTGGTAGTCTCAGCTGGCTTCTCAGGAAACCTGACCTCTCAGGTGAGAGCAGAGCAGAGCCTCCCTGGATCTGTCAGAGCCAGCCAGGTTCCTGCTATGCCCAGGCCAGGCCCCAGGAGTAGGAATCTAATTCCCTTGAAGCCATCCAGACCTAGTAACCTGATTAATCAGTAAAATTAGGCAGAAATAATGCTTTTAAATTTCTAAGCTTGGACCTGGAGAATCAGGTAGTTTCTACTTCCTGAGTCTTTGAAAACATGCTCTGGGAGAAGCCAGATGCAGCGTGAGAAGCTGGATCACCTGGCGATTGCTATGCCATTGAGGAAGTTCAAGGTAACTACACGTGGTGGCCCTAGAGAAAGAGAGCTGCCTAAATATTACATAAGTGACTCTTGTTTTTCCTATCCAGCCCATCCTAGAAACCGGATGTGTCAATCAAGAAACTATCCTGATTCTGTAGTTTGTATCTTGAATTTCCCCCAAAGACCATCTGTTAAAGACCTGGTTCTCAGCTCAGTGCTAGTGGAAGGTGCTGGAAACCATTAAAAGGTAGGGTCAAGTGGGAGGTTATAGGTAACTGGGGGGTACATCCTTGAAGGGGGCTGGGGGATTCTGGTCTGTTTGTCTCTTTCACTCCCTGCCAACGAGGTGAGTGATTTGTTCCACTTGCCCTCCCTGCCATGGCAGGCCCAAATGCAATGGGCCAAATGACTGTGGATGGAAAATACTAAACCATCAGCCAAAATAAATCTTTGTCCTTTGGAAGTTGGTTATCTCAGTTATTTGGTTAACGATAATGGAAAGCTGATGAACACACCAGGAATTATTCTTCAGTTCCACCCATCTCCATGAGTGTCATGTGGATATCAGATAAACGGCCCAGTGGAACTCCTCCGAAATTCTTAACCCACAAAACTGCAAGCAAAAGAAGTTTTTTTTTTTTTTAAATGCCACTATATTCTGGAACATTTTTTTTAATGCAACAATAGATAGTCAAAACAACTTCTTTTCTATTTTCACAAGGATAATATTTATTGATATACATATTAACCAAGGGCTTACCTACATTCCTTCTTCCTTAAGGTGCTTTTCTCAACTACATCTGTAAATAGATTCTATTATCCAGCACTTTGGCATCTAAGCTTACTCTTTTTCATTTTAAAGAATAAAAAATATTATCATTTGGGGTGCAGTTAAAGCACCAGCTCTGCAGATGAATGCATTTTTTGGTTTAATCAGAGTATTAAAATGTTACCCTATGCTTAGGTTAGCAATCAAAAGTAGAGTGGACACTTGCCAATGATCTAGCCTTTTAAAACTAGTGAATCATCAACTGAGGTCTCTCTTGGAGTCGACAACATTTGATTATCCATCTAGGCTTCAAAAACTTTACCATTTATTGTTAATATTATATAGATAACCTTCTGCAAGGAAACCCTCAAAAGATTCAATAGTAACTTTTGCTAACTAATTCCAAACCGTCTTATTTTTCCAGGGTAGATTTACTTTTAAAGATTAAATTAATCGACTCTATATTGAATTAGGAGTTTTAGTATTATTTGAGGTTCATTTTCTGCATGAA